AATTTAATTAAATTTAAATTAATTTAATTTAAATTTAAAAAAACTATATACTTACTATAATTTATTAATTTATTTTAGCTTTAGATGGATGGACTAGTTTAACAGGAAAATCTTTATGGAATTTTGTTAATTATTTAGATGATAGTAAAGATATTCTTTGAAAAATTCAAGATTATTCAAATGCAAGTCATACTGCTGATTTTTTAACAAAAGAAATTCAAAAAATACTTGAAAATATTGGAACTGAAAAATTTATTGGAATAGTAACAGATGCAGATGCAAATATTAATTTAGCAAGAAAACAAATTTCTCAGAAATATTCACATATATTGAATATTAGATGTGTTGTACATTCATTTAATCTTATTACGAAAGATTTAATCAAATATCCTTTTGCAACTAAAATTATTCAGTAGTATAAAGTCTTGGTTTTATATTTTAAAAAAAGCCATTTACCAAATAATCTTTTACTAGCCAAAATTTCTGAAAAAAATATATCAGGTGGTAGATTAAAAACTTATATTGATACAAGATAGACAACTGTTTATGAGATGTTAAAATCAGTTTATCAATTAGAAATATATTTAAAAGAGGTATTGTAAAATTTATATATATTAATTATTAAAATTATTATTAATAGGCAATCCACCTGAAACCTGGATAAAAATTTTTTTTTTTATATATAAATTTTACTATAAGCCCGATTATGCAGCACCCTATCTAAAACCTTTTTTTTACTAAATAAATCTCTTTTTGGCTTCTAACAAAAGTTGTAGAGCTCATCAAGATATATCTAATGGCAGTAAAAATGTTAAAATTGACTTGGTAGTTCTTGAGAAATCTTTAAAAAAACTTCTTTTTTATATATAAAATTTCTTTAAAAAAAATCAATTTTCTTTAAAGAAATTTTATATATAAAAAAGAAGTTTTTTAAAGATTTCTTAAGAACTACCAAGCCAATTTTAATGTTCTTACTACTATTAGATACATCTTAATGAGCTCTACAACTTTTGTTAGAAGCCAAAGAGAGATTTATTTAGTAAAAAAAAGTTTTAGATAGGGCACTGCATATTTGAGCTTATAGTAAAATTTATATATAAAAAAAAATTTTTGTCCAGGTTTCAGATGGATTGCCTATTAAATATAATTAACTTTTATAATTTTTATTTAGATAATTAATAAAAATCTTTCAGTTATAACAAATGAATCTGTTAAAACAATTATTTGTAGAAAAAGAGGATTTTTTAATGATGTTTATAATTTAGCTAAAATTTTTAAACCTATTAAGGAGGCTATTATTAAGTTAGAAAGTAGAAATGCAATATTAGCTGATTGTTATTTTTTATTAATAAGTTTAGGAAATTTAATTCATAAAATGCCTAAAGAAACTTATAAGAATTTTTAACAACATGCTATCAAAGTATTTAATTCTAGATTTGATGAATATGAATTTGATGAATATCTTTTAACATATTTTCTTCATCCAGACTATAAGGGTAAGTTAATTATTATTTAATTTTTTAAATTATTTAATATTTAAATTATTTAATTTTAAAATTTATAAATTATTTAGGTATTGGTATTCAAAAAAATAAATTTTTAAGAATTGCAACTTCAGCAGCTAACATATGGCAACAAATAATAAAAATTCCAGAAATTGCAAGTCAATTAAAAAAATATAAACATTCTAAACAACAATTAGGATATACTTATTGGTCAATTTAGAGAATTTTATTTAAATAGGAATTAAACTTTTTTTAATTACTCCACATGCAGCAAGTTGTGAAAGAATTTAGTCTATTTGTGAATGGATGACAGGAAAAAGAAAAATAAATTTATCAGTTAAAAATCTTGAATTATTAGTTAAAATATATTCTTATTATATTACTAATAAAATAACTAAATTAAATTTATATAGCCAAGAACATACAGTTGAAGAAATTTATCAAAAATTATATAATGCACAAATTGAAAAAGATGAGAAAGAAAATAAAAATGAAATTAAAAATCAATTGAATGTTAATTTAAATGAATATAATGAAAAAGATTTAGATGATAAACAAGAAACTGTATGGAAAAATTTAAATTTATTAGAAATAATTGATTTGGAAATGAATACTTTTAAGAATTATAGTTTCGAGGTTTTAGGTTTTGGGGTTTTAGTTTTTTTTTAAAAATCTGAAACTAGTTTCGGATTAGTACTTTCCAAACTAGTTTCAGGTAGATTTTGTTTCGAGTACCAACTTTAGCTCAAACTAACAATGAGATCCAGAATTTTGCAAATTGCAATTAGGGATGGGTAATGGCAAGATATTGTCAGCTTAGCTAATTGGCTATCTCATAAATCAGTAACCCAAATTGGATGGTTTTAGTACCATTCGATTCGTCTTAATGAGACGAATTGAATGATACTAAAATCATCTAATTTGGTTCACTGGATCATAAGATATCCAGTCGCTAAGCTGACAATAGCCAGCCGTTGCTATCCCTAATCAATAAATTTCATAGGAAAAATTAATCTGCATGACAAATCGTAATTACAACCTACGTCAATACAACAAAATAGTGGCAACTTTACTACAATCAGTTGTAATTAATTCCCTAAGCAATTCTTGAATGTGTGCCAGGTTTGTGGTGCAGTCAAAATTCTTCAAAGTTCGTTTATATTAAGGTTAGACCTTTAATTATGGTTAGAAGTTAGAAGCTTTATAGTGAAATTACTCCAGGAAAACTTTTTGTTAGTGCAAGAAGAGTAGTTTTATATGCAATTTTTCAAGAGATAAGCAATTTTTGACAAAATGGACGTTTGTTTTGAATATTCATGTTCGTGTTACATTGCACCTGATCCTGAAATCTGATTTGTAGTTCAGGCAATCTGCGCCTAAATACAGTTACGTCACTAATCTGATTCAGCTGCGTCACTAGTATGATTTATACAATTAATGTCGTGGCTGATGCTGAATTTGGCTGATGTTGAATATCACGTGAAAATTCGGGCCAGAAATTGCAGATCGCATGTCGATCAG